AATAGACTTATGATTTATGAGAAGGTTGATCAACTCAAATCTCCAACTCTAGATTGACGTACACTAAAAGAAACAACATTTAACTATTAATCATTTATAAGATTATGTTATAATCAATCATTGAACCTTTAAATTAAACATATTCTTCGGCTGTTATTTGTATCACATCGGATCGAAGATAATGCACTGAAACTCTGTTCCTGCTGACTCCCGGCTTTCAGCAGGGGACGCAGTAGCGGTCACGAACAGCTGGCCAAAAGGCGAACGATTCCGGTAAATAGCTCGTTACCCGGCTAAAAGTGCAGTAAGCAAGGGCGTGCGTGAAAGCATCCCCCGTCGAGGGTGAAAGTCGCTGCTGATAATTTCACCGGGACCCAGGGGAAAAGGGTTCGGGAATCAAAGGTGACATAACGCAAGTAGGGACCCGTGAACGGACATGACTTCCGCCTTATTATAATAATATTGGATACTGGCAAATACGTGGGACATTGTGAAGATATTTTCGTACCTTGAACGCCGAAACTTGTGTGAAATTTATAATTAGCTTCGGGATTCTCAATGCACTATAAAAATGTTAGCAGATAATCGTAGTAAACAACAATAAACTTTTGTTGTAAGTTATGTCTATATACCACGAAATGAAATGTGTAGGATCGAAAGCCACTATTTTTAGTCAAATTTAAACTTATGGTGTCTCATATTTTGGCGCTTAAACTTTGTTACAATTTCTCTCGTTTTTTTCTTTGTATGTTTTGCCGTAAACAATTGTTCCAAATAAATTCAATGTTACAATGTCCATTAGGCTCTTGTGTGTTAAGAGCACGGCCTGCAGATGGTCACCGGAGGGCAGGAAACGGAAAAAAGAAATCGTCCTTGCCAGATTAAGAATAGGTTATAAGCTGTTGACACATGGGCACTTACTCGTGGGTGAACTCCCCCCGCAGGTACCCCTATGCAGAGAAAGGTTCATTTGACGCGTGTCACGCCTTGGCTCTCTGTAGGGTGCGAGTAGGCATGCCGCCAGGTTTAAAAGGAGTTGTTGGACACAGTATCGAGTTTCAGGGTCCCCTGTTCCTTTTTTTTATTGTATCTAGCCGTCAAAATCTGTGTTTTGTGGTTCTGTGTTTTACATAAGTGAGTTTATTTATTAGTGTGAATGGGAGGGGCTGATGGTGAAATAGCATCTCCATCGCTCCTCGAGCTGTGTGCGTGACTTAAGCCTAAGGCGGAATATTTATAAAAATACCCCATCGACCCCAATTAGATAAGTGCAGGTCGATGAAGGATATTGAGCACCCAATCTACTAAAAAGATTGAGCGCGATGTATATAGATGTGAATGTATCTATTCGCGTGAATGCGTATTGAAAGTGTTTTGTTATATTTCGCATGCACTCGGGGCACCTAGCTTCAGATGCCCCTGTAAAAATTTAAAAAAATAGTCGTCTGTGTAGATGGACAAATAAAATACGTAGAAGGAACAAAACAAAGTAGATAAATAAGCACATTATACGGTTAAAAAAATATTATTAAGTCTTATTTTTTTTACTTGAAAAAAGTTTCTCTGATCAGGATTTGGGTCAACTATTGTTAACTGTCACATTTGACTTTTTGACTATTAAACCGAACGGTCGTGCATATCATCAAGATTAATGGGCCAAGGCACAAAGGGGCGGAATTAAATCTGCCTTTCACGTCAATCAAAAACAGAAATAGTGAACAAATCTGATTTCAACCAACTTGCTACATCTTCAGATTTCAACGGCTGGCTTTTGCCTAGGCTCGGATGTACTTTCGCAGATAATTTCATGATTCGATTACAAAATATTTGATCGCACTTTATTTAAAAAGGACTAAAACGTTATTTTTTCATGACATCCGATTTAAAATACATAAATCTTAACTTTAATTTCTGGGTTTTAGGCACTTGAGACAATTTTCAAAAGCTGCTTGTTCTTACGACAATTTTTTTTTATCGATACGTTTTAGATATTTACAATTTAAACAATTTTCATAAAAACATTAAGCAAATTAAAAAAATTGTACAGGTGTTTATTTACAGTCGGCAGACTGAAAGAACACATCGAAACTTCTATATGATACTAAATCTAAATTATTGAAACTATTACACGATTTTTCGGGAAACCGGCAAACAAGCAACAACAAAAATGGCAGAATTTCGAAAACAGGTTTATATGATATGAAGTGGGCGTATGCCTTATGTACATGACTCATAAATCTAATGAAAGACTTTCTCTGGTGAAAGTACATTTCATCTTGCCAATAAGTAGCCGAGCTTCTTAAGTGGTTGCACTCTCAAAAAATTAATAACCGTCGAAAAAAATTTGACCATAATTCAATGTTGCATGCTGATTTCAGTCTAACAGTCCGTTTGATATATTGTTACGGCGTTTATTCGGCAACATCGAATTTCATCCATTTCAAAATTTCTATTGAGAGTTAATATTGTGTTCTGCATGAATTTAGCATTCCAAAGAGGACGTGACTTGAAACATTTATTTTTCGGTCCGTCCTTGTTTCAAGAAAGAATTTACCATGACCTCCCAGCAGACCTGCGGCTTTCAAAGAGTCATCAGAAGGGGAGTAATTGGTCTGCCCGACCTCCGGTTCGAGAACGTTCTTTCAGAGCTATGTGAAACGCCACGGAAAATTACATTTTTCTTTTCTTTTTCTTGTTTTTTTACATGAAAGAAGATTAAATTCTTTACTACGGCATTGGCTATCAGTATTGAGAAAGAGAAAACTTCCTTTTCCCCACTCTATTTTCAAATTGAGTTTTTACAACGGGCCAATTTAATTCCGTCCTCACATCCCTGCAGCTCAAATGTTTTAGGAATAAGGATGAATAGAGATACATATCTCTCTAATAAGAGAAGACGAGAGGGTCCACCGAGAATCTCTCAAGGGTAGTCGACACCCCGCTCAGAGAGTTACTAATTAATTACCCCCTTGTAGGCTGTAATATTTAATTTATTTGATATATTTTTAACTCACTCTCGCGTTTATTGTCACTGTTTAGATCTCTTGGTCTTAGCCTCTTTAGCCTGCGGACAGGACTGGATGAGATTTTATCATCGAGATAGAAATTTTTGTGAAATTTACTGAAACAGGATGAAGTTACTTTATTTTAGTTACAAAGAGAACATCTTTGTGACAAACACCAGATCTCTGCGAATGATTTTATTCAATCCATAAAAGGGAATGTCCATAATTTTTCGAAGAGTTCTGCTGCTGCGCTCCAGCAACTGATTGCGCAATTGGAATACTAAGGATAATTGATCTATTTGGATGAGCCCCAGACTTCTATTCCGCATGTCCATATTGGTTTTAGTTCGTATTTGTAAAGTAGCCTTTTGTGGGGCAGTGATAATTTGGATCGTTTAAACAGTTTAATTTGTCTAGTGCGCGTAGCTGCAACCCAAATGAGACCCTACAGCCCGTATCAGTTGGATTTACGTAAGACAATTCAAAAATACGGAAAACGAAGCGTAATAGTTCCTCAGAATGAACAGAAACAAGCTGAGCATGTCTTTATGGAACGATGGAAGTCAGACGACTGCGGTTCGACCACAAAAACCTGAAAATGTTGCAAAATAATGCTCTCGTAAATTAAAACTCGACCTTTTTTGTCTTGCACTCTTCCCATTTTGTTCTAGAATTCCGCACGCAAAACCGTCAAGGAAGCACGAGACTAAGCGGACCCGGTGACGACCGAACCGACGACCGTTTAATTATCGCTTCCTACAACTGTGTTCCCCCTACACAGGATAAGTTCTTGAAATTTAACTTTCACCTCAATTAGCTCTTCCGTTTCGCACAGTTAAGTGCAATTTGCATGCAAAATTGCCCAATTAATCGTCTTGGAGCCGAAAGAGAAATGTTTTAAAAACATGTTTCACTAAAAAACTAGATAACCCTTAATTTTAATTTAATTTCACTTTAAATTCCTTTTGATTGAACAAAATCGTTCCACATTTCAGCCGGAATATGACAGAAAAAGCTGTAATTTTTTCCAAACATATATGTATAAAAATTAAAACTTAGCTGGTCAATTAATTATATACAAAAAGAAGATGAAAATTGCTATATATTGATATTGAATATCGATGTTAAAAGCTTAGAAATCGTGTAAAACATTAAGCAAAATGGTATACTTACTGGTACTTCATGATATATAAATAAACAATTCATACAACTAAAACTATTCTTTGGCTAATGCTTCTGATTTTATACAAATAGCCACAGCTTTCTGTCCAAACCTGGCTAACAAAGATAGGCTTGTCAAACTCCGCTTGGAGCAGAACCAAAGTAAGATTCACTCGGCAAGTGTGAAAATACATGAAAGTTTGCACAATTGCAGAATATTGCATTTGGAATTGAAAACAAAAATATCCTAATATAGATCAAATAATCAATATTATAAATTTTTAGAAAAGTTTCAAAGCAAATTGATGTTTATTTTTTAATTTTCCCCCGAGGATATTTCAACTACGAGGTTACACCCGCGTTGCTGGTGCTTTTAAAAATGATGTTTTTTGTTGATGTGGATTGTAGGTCTCTCCTCCCAAGTGCTGGAGCATAATAGATCTACTTAGAAGTCCTTGTGACCACCTCTTTCATCCCTATCCCTCCCAAATACTAAAGTGTACCGATTTCCTGTATTTTAGGATGTAGTTTTTTTATTAACTAAATTTCTTTGTTATTACTATCGTTAATGTCATATGAAGTTTAGTCGATCATTTCGTATATCAGAGGAGAGAGTTTTTCACCATCTTCACTACTGTGTCTGTATCAGTATAACCCCCTAGCTGGGGTATGCAGACCAAAATGATTGTAAAATACCAAATTACAGGTTCATCATCCTGCAGCCACCATGAAACAATCTCAATATAATGACACAATGCTTATATTAGCTGCCGATTAAAACGTCCTAACGCATTCGTTTAAATCGTTACATGAAGATTTTTCATTTTTTTCCAGGTGGAAGGATCGACAGTCTACACGGTGCCATACCCTCACAGCTTTACATCAGTTCATCCTCCCAGGCAGTACAAGCAGCGACCACACGTCTCTAGACCGCCATCTCAGGTAAATTTTGATTTAAAATTGTAATTTTAACTACATATTTTATTAAATGCCTTTGTTATTGTGTTTGTGGATTTTCTTTAGTGATCGATTCCTGTAGCCGCTTTTAAACCTTTACCAGGGAAATTACGAATCCTTTTTTTTTCCTACATGTGACAATCCTTTTTATATCAACAGTGATTAAAAAATTTCAAATTGTATGAAAATCTGAAAGTTTCAATTTTTTACGGTTTCATATCATACTATAACTTAATGTAACATACTATATGTTAATGCAAAAGCGATATAACTCCTAATTTACATTTTTTAAATAAATATCATTCCAAAGTGAACATTCAATATTTTCGAATAAACTTTAATTTGGCCAGGCTGATCATTTTTTGAGTCGAAAGAGTACCAGGGAGTTATTTTTTAATTGTCCAGTACTCTCTTCGTACTTGATGTTAATAATAAGTATAGAAAAGTAAAGTAAAGAAATCCCTCTCATACACGATGGTTTAACGTTCAACTTGCAATTTTTCTCACTTAAAACTGCAAGGACTTTGCCGGTTGATGATATGTAATAATAAATAATTGCACCAACTGTTCAAAATGCCAGGATTTCCGATTAAAATTTAACGAAATGGGATATTGCATTGGAGAAGTGGAGAAGAGATTTTTAAGGAGTTGATGTTGTTGTAACACCTTTTATAAATAATATATAGAAAGAAGAAAACAATAAAAATACAAACCTACCCAGATGATTACATCTTCTCAACTTCCACGTACCCTGTTGTAACACCAGACAAACAATCACTTTCACTAAAAAACCCTGCCAATTACCTGCTGACCAGTAAACAGCCCCCCCGAAGATAGTTCTTACTCACAGTTTGTTGTTCTCAACGATTGCGTTTAAGGCTCAAAATCGGGATCGTTGGAAACAACAAACTAAGAATAAGAACTATGTTTTAAAGAAGCTAGTAGATTCATACCAATGCAGATAATATGGTGTTTCATAGGTAAATTCCCCCGGAACAGCCCATGACTTTTTAATTGAAAATTGTTTGAAATAAGTATTGTAAAATGTTCGACCCCCCGTCCGCAGTCGACGTTAAGCCCTCCTGTATGACAGGAATTATTGTAATTACTTTACTAAACTCTTCGGCGGTTTCGAAACGTCAATGCAGCGCGACCGCTATAGAAAGCACGGAAAGTGTCACCCATAACACCGGCTCATTGTGCAAGACACACAGAGTGACATAACAATGGACGAGTACTCACAATGATGCCATTCAAGTTCCTTCCTCCTTTTGAGGGACGCGAAAGTCGGCTTCATGAATTGACCCTACACGAAAAAGTAAATAAAAGAAGAACACGCTAAAATGGACTTGTTTGTCCTCGACTTCTTTTACTAAAAGGTGAAATTTATTTTTTTATTTTTTTTTGAAAATCCCTCGGCGGCCATTTTTCCCTTTTATGTAAATACGTTTTCTAAAAATAATTGTATACAGGCATATGGTTGTTTTTAGTTACATCAGCCTTATATGCTTCTTGTTAATCAGATAAGTTGTAACGCTTTAATATCTGTAAAATTTGCATATCAACCCCGTGTCTTTTAATCTATCCTGTTGAATGTCTTAAAACCGCAACATCCTCAAGAGGAAGAAGGATCAAGGCAAATTAACCCACCTAACCTACAATATTACATTCTTTAGGTGAATTTTACTTTACAAATGCAAAACTTGATAAAAGTTTGCAAAATATTTATATCTCTTAGTTGATTGGTCTCAAATTGATCATTCATTAGCTATTCAAAATAAAAAGGAAAGGATTTAGTTGTATGGATGTAGCAGGTCATCATTCTTCAGGTAATAATGGCCAACTTTTGTCCTTCGATATTGCAGAAACCTTTATATCCTTAGAAGTTAACCTGACTGGTGTAACCCTGAAAGTAGAGCTTTGTCATGTTTGGTAATCATAAATCACTCGAGGGGCTGCAGTAAATTCATTTGGTACAAAATAACGAGTTGAACCTTAAGTGGCCTTTTCATATAGTCGAGATTTACACCAATAGAAATGTCTGTAAGAAAAGATAATCACCAGCTTATTGCCAGACTGCAATTTCTCTACGAAGGGCCTGCGGTTTTTGAAGCAAGACCGCAGCATTTCGGAACGGGCTCGGCCGACCGCGGGCAGGCGACTGAGCTCATTTTCGTCAGAGTTTTTCTTTCGAAACTTCGAACCGATTTTGATCAGTGCCCGGGAACCCGGACGGCGTGACGGCTTTTTATTGCTTTGGGCCGTTTTGTACCGCCAATTGGAATTATGGGAAAAGAACTGAGCCCGGCTGGCCGAATAACCGTTTCCACCGCAAACACGTAAAAAGCCGGAAAATCGTCAAGTTTACCAAAAAGTACCACTATGTTTTGAGCGACATTTACTAAATAAAAATTTAAAAAAGGGTCTGTTTGATCAAAATACGAGAACTTCATGATTGGATTATTTCTTCCTCTTCAGCAAGGTGAAATTCGACAGAACGAGAATCAATCAAATTCTCTTGATAGAGGGCCACAAAATTCTTCTATAAAATGAATATACGAGAAAAATTAAACATGACAAGTAAGGCATACCGATTATCAACAATTTCTTCTTATTTTCTCGTTATCATATTTAGCGATTCTATTTTGAAAAATTTCTTTATTTTGAACAATCAAAACAATCTCTTTTTATTAAACTGATTTATTACTAAATAAATGTTCAAATGAGCACATGTATGTACATATCAGTTGAGCCTATCACTTCTCACAGTCCCCCGGTAATTCTTTTAAGCTTTAAAGATATTATCATTTAAAATAAATTACCGCCAGGTCTCGAGAATCACCTACTTCGGGTGTTGGGAGACCAGGGTCAGACCTCGGTCTTTCTTCTTGCAAGAACGCAATGCACATTTTAAAATTAACAGAAAAGATTTTAGCTTTAAGAAAAAAATTACAGCTATTGAAAAGAAAAATTAACGAACAAGGTGTCAATGATTTTTTTTTTAGTTGTTGCACCAGTTTAATCTCCAATGAAGTTGATTTGTCTTGCAATATTAAACCGTTTTTTGAGGATCACCTATTACAGCATACCAAATGGTTCGAAAAATACTTTCAAGTAGATGATTTGCTAATTCACTTGGATTCATGAAAAAATACAAAAAATCTCTTATTGAGTTTTCTTGCGATAATTCACTGAATTCATTGAAAAACAAAATTTGGTAGGCTGGAACTTTATAATTCCTGGATGTAAATAAACAAAGATCCCCTGTTTAGTGGATAGCAGAGGAAATGAAGAAAAACTATTATTAGTATAAGGTTCACCCTGACCAATATTTTGACTTAGGGTGCCGTCGGAAACCGAAAAAAGTTTTAGAACCGATGTTTAACCTTACAACCCCAAATTATTTGTTATTATTATTTGCTTTGTAAAAAAAGACCCATTTTTTGCTACTTTATTTGGGTCGAAAGAGTGTACCTGAATTTTTATGACCTACCATTTTGTATAATAAATAAAAATTCAAAAATATTATCTCTTTTTGCATAAACAAAAGATTAACAAAAATAGGGTTTTCAGAGGAAAAAATATATATTATAATTCTTCTACATTATTATCGTTAAAATCTTCCAAATCTGAAGCTGTAAGGTCGAATAGTTGTATTTGGTGGATAACTTCTTCCGATAAGCCCGCCCGGTCCTAAGAGTTTTTCTCCATCCCCCCCATGCATTGTGGTGGTTAGGGTGGATGGCGAATATTTATACCAGTTCTTATCAATCCTAATTTAGATTAGGTCATTAATATTGTGTGTAAGGTGAATATCGAGTACTCCACCGCTAGGTTGTATTTTGCATGCGTTTGGGGCTGAAATGACAACTATCGAAAGCCCCCGTTGGTTGGAAAGTGATGATCTCCTGGGCATCTGGCTTAAGGGAGATATTAGCAACCCAGCCGCCAAACGGGATAGGTGGACACCCCTGAGGTGTAGACATTACGGTCAGTACATCGAGGAGTGACAACCCTTCGGGGTGAAAGTCCTTAGAGTTATATAAGCTTGAATAATTTCTTCATGTGAAAAAGCATAGATAAACAAGTACATAAGTATATACATAAAATTTTAATTATAGTAGTTTCGTAGTTTGAACTTAAACGTATAAGCCTATAAAAATGATATTGTTTTATTCGAATAAATATTTCAATTTGGTCGTTACCCATCATTTTGGTCTGCCTATCCTGGGACAACAATGGTGCTAAAAGGGAGAAATTCTCGTCTGAATCATGATCGTTATGAAAATTTTAAAACCCTTCCATGAGCACCTACAGTTTTTGAAAACGTCGTGAATTCCTTAAAACCTGTTGAGATCATACAACCATAAAGATATGGTTATTTTTGTCAAATTGGCTTACCATTGTATAAAAATTAAAATTAACAGTGAATTGAAGCTGTAATCGATTTTCAGATTTTCTGCCATCAAAGAATTTGTGAATCAATTAATTAAACTAAACTTTCCTAACATACTGGCAACTATGTACGTAGATGTTTCTGTGAATATCTCGTTACTAATCTGCGGCAGGTTGCTCTTAAAATGACAAATAATGTCATTTTTAAGCCATTTTCATGTTATGAAAGTTTTTAACAGTTATTATGAGAATTTTGGATTATTGCCTATTGTCAATTACCTCTTTTTAGAAAATGGATAATGTATATTCTTTTCGAAGAGAACTTTGGAAGAGAGAATATTCTAAAGGTTTATTAGAAAGTAAGGTTTAGATGTGCAAAAAATAAGATATCATAATACTTAATACAAAAATGAAGCAATTTTACGTTTCCATGCGTATTGCGCAAGGATCCAAGATTAAAACAAACTTTCCAGTGAAACAAAATATTTTTTTAAGTTGTACCACAGTAATTGCTTCTGTTAAAAAGATTTATAAAGGTCTCGGCCCCCACGGATCTCAATTTCTTACTTTCCCGGTGTCTTAGGGTCAAGGGGAGGTTCACTTGGAAATGAAAAGAAGGATGGATTGTTTCAAATCTGTTTTTACCCCGTAATTTAATCCTCGGTCCTTTCTAGTCTCGAGTACTTCTTTGTCTCTTAAACTACGTGACCGATGCAAATGTCGACCTATCCTGGTCAGAAGTGCAGATTGGTGAGTCATTCTAAAATTTTTTTTAACAACCTTTGACCGTATATTAAATGAAACGATGAAAAATTAATAATATATGCAACGCAATAATAAACAAGCTGAAGCTCATAAATATTCCCAACTTCGGCTTTAAGCCAAGTTTATTTTGAATATTTGTAGATGTATAAAAACTCTTCCCCTAACGTTCTCTTTGTACTGTGTAAACCACATCGGTACAAAATTGCAAATAAAATCTTTCATGTATGTTGTAAAAACGTCTATACACAGGTAGAAATTTTAAACAATAATTCCGCGAAACTTTCCAATTTCAAAAAACTTGTAAAATACTTATAAATACATTTGTGCCATGAAGTATCTTCGTTATACTCGTCGTTATTAACTTAAATTCTTTTCTTTTCAAAGTATCTTTCGGATACTATTGTTTTATTCTTTCGTTGATTCATCTAAGTTGTTCGGTTGACTCTCAACTAATTGAATGCCGGGTGAAGACTTTGGATGATTTCACACCAGACAACTTGAAGAATCAACGTCTCCTCCCAACGGAGGTCTGTACGATGTTTGAACCTGAGGAAACAGGAGCACTTTTCGTGCTTGCTCTTCTGCAAGAAAAGGAGAAAAACCTAGTCGAAAATCTACCTCTACTTCTGTTTATCTCTCTCTCTTTCACACACTCTCTCTCTCTCTCTCACACACACACACACTTCTCTCTCCGTACATAAAATTAAAAAATATTTAAAAAATTCTGATTTTCTGATTTTTTAAATTTTTATATATGGGTATTCCATTGTATAAAATAACGGTAAACGTTTTATACAATTAAACCAACGTTTTTTTATGAAGTTTAGTCGTCTCCCATCAATTTAACATAGATAGACCTGGAGACGACCAAGCTACATGTTTCTCATTACTCTGATGTGTAAGATGATATTACCGGTTGAACTTAGGTATTTTGTTGTTTCAGTCGACCGCGGATCCTGTGAAGAAGAGCAGGAAGAAGACGAAGGAGGTGACAGACGAGGAAATCGACAAGACGTACACAGGCCTCGACCGCGAGATCGCCGAAGAATTCATCTCCATCGCGATGCAGCCGAAACCGCCCAGCTCTAGAAGCGAGTCATCCATCTCTCAAATCATCCCCTGATGGCGTTTGCTGGATTGGATTGGTGTTCCACACGACATGGAAGGACAGTACAAAAGACTGCGGCTGCTCAATCGGCGACACGGCCCCGCTCATCCACCCTGAGACCGTTCGCTTCGTTAAAACCCCTAGAAAGTTTGAAATGCGGATCAGATCGTTTTTTCTCAAGTTCTACAAACAAGATTCTTCTTCGAACGATTGGAGAAAACGCATGTTTTCCGTATTTTTTCGTCTTTATTTTTGTATTGTACGAAATCTACCGGCGTACGATGGGATATATAAATGTACTCAATTAAAACAACTATCCGTTACAAAATTACTACTAAATACTAAAAACTAGCAGTTAATAGGTTATCTAACATAAAATATTAATTATAGAGTTTGTAAGATAGGATTTTATGTTTATATTGCCTGATTATTATTATTTACTTTGTATATTTTATAACATTTTTCTTTTCAAGAAATCATTTTTGCTCATTTTTAATGAAGTTAATTGAGTTTAATGTGAAGTTATCAATAGCCATATCGGATCATAGATAAGGTCGTTTGGCGTTCTCCATTACCTGTGATTTGATTGTTCTTAAGAAATAAAATTGTTGTATTAATTGTAATTTAGTGTTTAAACAAATATTTTGATAGTAGTTAATTGAAAACTGATTTAAAATTAATTTGTAAATATTTTTGTAAATAAAAAAATACTTGTAAAAATTTGTAGCGATTTTCTAAATCCAAAAATCAATTTACATATTTTCAAAAATTGTCATTGTTTTTTGTTTTTTGCCATTTTCAGCCAAGACTTTTAAACAAATATCTATTAGGCGAGCTTAGGGTTTTGGGTTTCCTGGCAATTTTTACCATACTAAATAATGTGTTCTAAATTTGAAAAAAAACCTGGCGTACCAACTGCTATTTGTATACCATCAACTATAGGGGAATTTAAAATTTAATATAGTCAACTTAAGAAAACAAAAATTTTGTTGAAAAAAAAATATCGGCAAAATAAAATTATTTGAACATGCACGGCCATTTACAATTTAGGAGTACTTAAAAAGGTATTACACTTTCCACAGCCATCTAATTTATATATCATTTAAGAAAATAATTTCTATTGTTCAAAATTCAAATAGCCAACAAATTCTTTTTAGCAAACGGGACAGATTCTTTAACAAATATACCCAGGATATTATTGCATTACTCTTTCGTTGATTCCACCATAAGAAACAGGAGCACTTCTTGTGCTTACTCTTCTGCAAACAAAGAAGCGAAAAAAGGAAGAAAACCATGACGAAGAAAAGTATGAGTTCATCTCTCTCTCTTTCTCCTCTCCACTTTTCTCCCTCTTATTTTCCATCTGTTTTTTCTCTCCCTATCTATTGTTAATTGTAGGAGAGGTCGATCTATCAGATGAGCTTAAGATTGTGGGTTTTCCAGATGATTCTTAGCATTCTAATGAGATCTTCTAAATTTGTCAAAAAAAATCCTCTGACAGACCAACTGCCAGTATATACCATCAAATTATAAAGTACAATTTAATATAGACACCTTAAGAAAACAAAAATAGATCATATATGGAATTACTCAATTAATTATATACAATTTGTTTGAAATGAAAAATCTGTGACAGGCAGGATTCTAACCAACGACTTTCGGCTAAATACGCTGCTGCTCTATCGTGACAAACGTATTTAGCCAAAAGTCGTGGGTTCGAATCCCGCCTGTGACACAGATTTTTCATTTAGAAAAAATTACGTATTTAGCCAAAAGTCGTGGGTTCGAATCCCGCCTGTGACAGATTTTTCATTTAGAAAAAATTGTGTATAATTAATTGAATAATTATATAATTAAGAATAAGCTGATAAACATAATTAAACATAAATATATGGAAGTTTAGAAAATAATTTTGATTGTTCAAAAAGTTAACGAATTATTTTTATTATACTGTCAGGTTTTTAAAGCAAAATTTGTTCAGCTATTCTTAATTGTTACCATATTGACCCATAAATTTTAAACATTTCCTTTTTTTTCTTTCGCCGATAATGATTATAATCGGAAAACAAGTAGCAGAACGTTGTTAGATTTTTGCGGCTTCACTAACCAAATTTGAACGATTACTTTTTCATTGAATAAAACGTCTACATTTCTCTTCATTGATGCGGACCTGGTTCAGGCAGATTCGTTAATCGGCCTAGTTGGAAAGAGTATTAGAAATTGACCGTTTCGCTCTTAGGAAGCTATTCATACCAGAGGATTTCCTCCGATAAAACACATTATCTTCCTTTGGATAAATTCCGCTCTCAGATAATGGATTAATGGAGGTCAATTTGTGACTTTCTCCAAATCACTGCGGGACTGTATTGTTTATTATTCAAAATCCACTTGCCAACTATTTTTCTGATTATCTAAGAAATAGATAACCATCTTGGTTCTTAGGTAGGAAAACACTTAACATAAATGCGGTCTTTTAGCAATTAACAAGAAGGCATACAACTAAAATAAAGGAGAAAAGTGTTATTTTCGACCAAAGCTTAGAGTGTATCTAAATTTTACAAAAATCCTCTGGCGTGCCAACTACTATTTGTTATTCGTGCTAGAGTAACTAATTTCCAACAACAAATCACTGTAAAGTTTAACATAAAAGTGTTGTACAATCTCAGTAGCAATGTGAAAGAACTAATGAAATATATTACAGTGAAATGGTAAGGAAAACTTTGGCATTTTCTTATCAACTCATTGTCATTTGCACGTTTTAACACGAACCAAGAATACAGTTAAAATAATTTTGAGTTTTGTTTTCAAAGGGTGTGGGGTGATGACGTTTCCTATCATCTTGCAGTGTGGCTTATGACTGAAAAGTCCAACGGGGCTACAACTAAATTGGAGAAATGGTTAACAAAATAATGAAAGAACATGCGATACTCATGGCCCCAATAAATGGCCTGAATAAGATGTTTGAGATCAAGCAAAATTTCGAAACAAATGTAAGTACGAAAAAAAGAATGGGAAAGAGAAAAACCTTCCGTTAAGAACGACACCATTGCTGGTACACTGATGGATCTAGAACGCAGGAAGGTACGAGACAGGAGTGTTCGGTCCTGGAGGCTGGAACCAAATACTCGGAACCCTTTCCATGGGAAAAATATACCAGTATCTTCGAGGCTGAACTCCGAATTGAAATTGAGAGATGTACATACCCAATTCAATTTGACAAAGAGTAGAAAGACAAAAATATAGCTATTATGACAGACAGCCAAGCTGCCATCAAATCACTAAGTTCAAACAGCATTCGATCAACGATGGTGCTGAATTGCAATACTGAACTAAATAGATTGGGTATACCAAATAAAGTAACTCTCTGCTGGGTCCAGGACATGTAGGAGTAGCGGGAAACGAGAGAGCGGACGCCCTTGCAAGGATGAGTGCTGTAATACCACCGATAGGTCCTGAGCCTTTCTGTACGGATCCACATTATCAATGAGTATTTTACACAAAAAGACAGACTAAAAATGAGGAAACAGAGGAATTCCCTCATGGGACATAAATAATCCAAAAACCTAGCAAATTATGATAGGCAAGGAGCAACAGAGTTGATCAAAGGAAGGAGGAAAAAATTTCGAAACCTGTGATTCTTAACTGGACACTGCAGACAGAATGAGTATCTGAAGAAGACCAGTATAACCCAACATGATATGTGCAGATTATGCAAAGAAGCAGGTGAGACAGCAACAAACCTACTAAATGGCGCCACATTTAACCGCAGGAAGACGTGTTTTGGGATGTACAACGTAACCGAAGAGGCACTGAAACCGGAGTACTAATCAAGTTCCTTGATGAGCTTGTACTCACCGCTGTACTACAAGTACAGAGCGGGGGACATTAGCTCTCAAAAGAAGCAGATATTACATCTTACATTTTGACTAAAGAGGCGAAAAGCTGAATTGCATTTTGCGGAACAAATAGAACGACCATGTTCAATAAAATAATTGTTAAATCAAACCAATGAAACAACGCTAACATAAGTGCTAATTTATCGTGATTTAATAATGTAAGGGTATTTTGAAAACCACATATGGGTATAAACATTTTTCAGTAATTTCGGCAAATTACCCTGGAGGCTTAATGAAAAGAATTGCAATTTTCGAATTCAAACGCCCTAAATTTCGGAGCATATCTGACTTTTCACTTACTGAGAATCTTGCACTCTAGTCTTATTATATATCTACAATGAACATTATTTTCATTAAATATGTACTTAAATATTGTAGTTTCAATTGTCTTTCAGCTTTATTTTGTTTCCTTTGCCTTAATTTGGTTAGTAATTATGTCTTTCATTTTTGTTGTTGTACAGTTTTTACTCTTTAATTGTATGTAATATTACCATTTATATATTTCCTTATTTTTTTATATATATTATTTGTATGTTTGCATATATTATTTTGTATATTATTTTTATGTTTTGTTATTGTAAAATGTCTTTTTATAGTGGATTTCGATCCGTAAATAAACAAATAAAATAAGCAAAGAACGGCGAATGATTTCCCGTTTTCAAAAGTGATTGTTAAAAATGGATAATTTATTTGACTTTGTGGGTTTGCTGGAACCGCCCCAAGACAAACTGACCTATACCTGTACTCCTTTTGCCCACAAAGGTTAACTTACGTGTATAATGAACTGTAATCATAACGTCAAAAACTAAACTAAACTAACTTTGAATTATTTCGCAAGCCAACCAACGTTAAACCCTGCGTGTTGATCAATTCTGAGATATCAATTGCAAATCGGTCAAGAATGCAGAACTTATTAATTAAATGTTTCGAGGTTCTGAAATTATCCAACACATTAACTATTTGCGATAGAGAGGTTATTACTATGAATAAAATAACTTAATAACTACTATGAATAAATAACTCAAGGGCAATCTTAAGGAGAAACTAGTTTAATACTGTTGTTTGTTGGTATTTTCTGCTTTATTGTTAGGAAAAAACGTACAAACACATGGATTATTGTAATGACAACATCTAATATTATCTGGAATAGCTATTAATAGCTAATATATTCTCAACCTTCAACTCTGCTTTGAAACAATTACACCAATTTTTGACTCACCTTTCACGCTATTCATGAAAAATATTATCATTTTTTTCATTTTTCCTTTTTTTAATTTAAAAATTTTTGGTAAGGAGCATTGGTGAGCTTACGGTAAATTTTTGACTGCAGTGACTGAATTCTATTGAAATTTGGTTGAGTCCCAGAGTTCTATCCAGGCAGAAAGGTCGGAGTACTAGCTTTTCAATTAACAGTTTGTTCGTCAGTGAAAGTTTTGATCGTTTGTCCAGTATAGATATAAGTAGTTTGTATCGTTTGTTAAGTTCCTGTCTTTTCAGTCTAGTGTGGGGTTCCATGTCAGTCTTTAATCGAGAAACATGCCTAGATATTTTACTATGTCTGCAGTCGGTATAGATATATTTTAGTGATGGAAATGTCGCACAGCGGATGGTAAAGCTTGTGCGAATTTATTTTGATTCATTTTATTCTCAATCTTTCGTTCCAACGATGGATATCGTATAGACGAGCTTGGATGCTGGAGGCAGCTATGTTTGGTTCTTGATGCGAGAAAAAGCCAAATGTGTCGTCTACAAATCAGCAAGGGATTTTGAGGAATATCGGCATAGTATATTATACTTAGGAGAGGATCTAGGATGCTTCCTTGTGGTACTCCAGCCCCTAAAGGAAGAACGAGGAAAGATCTTGGCCTTATCTTGGCAATGCCTATCGGACAACTAGGATCTTAGAAAAAGGTAATAAGTTAAGCGGAGAAGAACCTTTAACTTGGAAAGGAGTCCGGGTGCCAGATTGATGGCTCGAGCCATGTCACATCAGGGCATGCCCTCGATCAAGGCTGGGAGAGATCCTTTCAACTCTTCAACTCTGTGGTATGAACAGAAACCAAATTGGTGGTTTCATATTATGTTGTGGGATATTAGGAAGGGAAATACGTCTAATGAGGATATGTATGACTTTAGATAGAAATGAAAGTAAGGAAATAGGACGTATGAATTCTTTACGTGGGTAGGATTATTGGATTTTGAGAAACAGTAATTTTTGAATACTTCCAGCATAGGATGGGATGTTCTAAGGACAGTATTGAAAAGGTACAAGAGAGCTTTTTTAGCTTTTTTTGCCATGATAGATTAAACCAAGATACTGGACCTGAGTCATGCAGAGAAAATTGTATATCGATTTATCGATATCTTTGCGACAACGATTTTATGATTGTTTAGGAACTCTAACCTTACGAAAACCTCCTAAATGAAGACAATCACAAGTACTAGTGGCAAAAGAAACGTTATAACAAATATTTATTGTTTTATAAACTATAATAAGAAATATGTTATATCAATGGTACATCTTTGATCCCGCCGTGTGCTTAGAAAATTATACAAATATTTATTTTGCTATAAAGGATTTAGCTTAACCAGGTATTTATTTGTCTTTAACTGTAATAGTGCTAGTATAATTTGTTGTTTTTTATTTGTTTGGGTTTTTTGTTATTATTAGAAGTAAATAAAAATGGTTCCTGAACATGTACTGGCTGCGATGCACCCAGCGAACCACAAGACCATTTTCTTGCTGGACCATACGCCTTACTTTGGAGGGAGCTGCGAGAGTGTCATCGAGTTCGATTTCACCAAGTCGAGAAGCCCCGGTCTGATCCCTTTGGCTCCAATCTCCAAATCACTCTGGACTTGCAGCGTCGAAGCTGCCATCGAGTACTGTCGGATTGTCTGGGATTTGTTTCCGACAGGCAAACTGGTGAGCTGTTATTTAATGTCAGAAGTGATGAATGAATATAAACTTGCTATGGCTACAAACATGCTATAAATATTGCTACTTTGCAAACTCAGCAAGACTTGATGAGGTCCACAAATTAATTGTGGAAAATCCAAAATGCCAAAGTGTACTTGATATAACGATCAAGCTATAAATTAAACTGTTAATTAATTTCCAGACCAAACAGAAGCTTAAAATTAATTTATAATATTCATTTATTAGAAATTTGATTTTTTTTTAAACTCATAAACAACTACACTAGACTCTCATTATCCGGGCTTTTTGTCTTCCGAGTTCTAGAAGAGAGGAAACATTGTTTTCCTGCATGAAATAAATTTTATTACATTACATTACCATACATTCCGACAGAAGGACTTGATTGCTCATAAATAATTAAATCTTAATTTTTTTCCCAATTTAGCATGAAATGGCCAGCCAATAAAAGAGGAGGTACATATCCGTACATAGGTACATCATTATGTGCCTTTTGAGTTTCACAGGATAGTAATGCAACAGTTGCTACCAAAAACATTTGTGATGTTTATCCAAGTGTATGAGACGTTCATCAATGCCAAAGGTGGTTTTCTAAGTTCAGATCCGATAATTTTGATCTTTTTGAAAAAGAGCGATCAGGAATATGAACAACTTTAGACAATGACATGTTAAGGGCGGAAGTGGAAGCAAATACATGTTAGACAATTGAGGAACTGTCAAACCTCTTAACCAACATTGGTCAACCATTCACGAACATTTGTAACTTACATTAAATTAATGGCAGGCCTCAAGAATCACCCACCTCACGTGTTTTGGCCTTCGGCTTTATCCATCCTGCCACCGAAATTGGGCTCCAACAGAAAGGTCATTTCAGCCCCCAATGCAATCACTTCCTACAACCAAACCCATTCACACTCACTGAACCCTTTTACCACACATTTCTTGTGTTAATTGTTTGTAATATTTATATTATTGATTTCAGATACGCTTCATCGTCAGTGACAACAAAGCAGAGAGCCTTAATTCATGGAGCCCTTCCCAGCAGAATTTAACGCATGTAAATTAATCAAGATTACTTTGCTTTTATTATTTGTAGTATTTTTGTTTCATTGAGGGACTTTGCAGAGTCATTAGTACATAAGATTAGCAACAAATTGTTGAAAAAATTATCACAATGTATACTGTGTTGAGCCCTGCAAGATGATGAACCTGTTTACCTCTGATCATCCTGGTCTGCCGATTCATAAGTCCAACCAGTGATGATGACAAAATGTTGAATCGTTTGAAAGACAATACCCTAAAAATTAGACAGACAAGGATGATCAGAGATGGATAAGTACTTTAGCTTCATCTGATAGCCATCCCTTGATTGATTTTCAAGTATTGAAGTAGTTGAAAATCCAGAATTTTTTAAACATATCTTACTTAAGAAACTCCAAAATTTAAAAAAATTGTATTAATTATTTATAACTATTAACTTTATTTTTACTTACAATAACATCTTTGTGAAAATTGAAATTGAATTGTGAATTATGAAAACCATCAAGCAAATTATACTATTCTTAAGGTATACCCTTGCATTAGGACTACTTGGTTTTCTTCTTAAGAATTAAATTTCTTATTTAAAATTATTTGTTTAAGCTTTTAAACACCCTTGCATCAGTAGGCGTACCACCTCCAGCATCTGAAGACAGTGAGCAGCATTCCATATTTCATGGGTTAAAAATGGCCGTGCAGGCCATGTGTGAATGTTCGGAACAGCAGCATGAAAAAAGGACCTCTTTGGATGAAAATGTTATACCTGTAAGCATTGAAAATATTTATCTTTGATATGTTAATACAGCATGATCGTATCTGACAGGTAGTAAACAGAGTGAGGATAATTTGTATAACATCAGTAGCAGACAATGAAAGCATTAGTATTATAGAAGAAAGACTGAGGCAGGAGATTATGGAAAGCAACAAAGTCGCTACATCATCAGATTTGTAATTTTTATTATTGCTTTCAATATGAAACTTTTTCTTATTGATTTTTTTCCAGATTAATTCCTATAGATCACTGCGAATTTGTAATAATAAACATCCAGCCAGAGCCGATGAACAATATTCCAATGCATTCTGTAATTTTAAAAAAAATAATAATAATAGCATTATACAAATTTATTAGAGAGAGATTTTGTTGTTTAGGTTTCTTCATCAATTGTTAGTGAAACACATCATGTGAAAGCATCCGGAGGGATCGCAAATAAACTAGCGTCTTTAATTCTAAAACATTATGACCTGGCTAGCACCACTGTTACTGGAATACCGATGAAAGAGGAACAAAACGCCAGTTCTTCTGCAAATTATGATGTCGAAATATTTCATGTTGCTAAGGCTCATGATACTTTATTCAAAGGCAAGTTAAAAACACTGTAAATTTTGCCTCAGTTATTTCAACAAGCTGAATAATTTCACTCTTGTTTGTATGTTAAAAAATCTTAATAATACAACATTGTGTAAATTAAAAAGTAAATTAAGTTTCCATTGTCAAATTAACTATTAATATATTTAATTATTGAAAAGTATGGGTTACAGTTTTTTAATTATGAACAGAAGTCATTTTGCTCTCAATGTTATTCAAAATTAAATATACATTAATTAAGGATATTTATAAATGAACTCTTAGGATGTGGAGTGGATTTGAAGCAAATCAGGACGTTGAAAGAAGGAATGGAATATTCAACAGTTACATTACGATGGAGCACACCGAGAGGCTGCACTGCATCAGAAATGCACAATTGCACGTCAACCCACCGCATCACACCCGTCGACGTTAACAGGTACTCATTATTGATTGATTTTTCTTGTTGATTTTTTCTTAAGTTATAAATTTTTAGCCGGCCCTCATCCTGTTTGATAAACTTCCTCGTCGGTGGGCGATCAGTCATGCTTGAAGTCGTCAGGGCCGGTGGTTCAAAAGCGCTTTCACATTTGCTCGCAGCCCATGCAGGTCAGATTTACATGCACACGCTGGCATTTGGTAGAACGCTACATGATGACCCGCCTTCAATCAGTGAGGGTATAGGTGGGCGAGTAACCGATTATAGAATAACGGTAAGAGCTTGCTTCCATATTAAAGAAAAAATTAAGGTAGGGCTAACAAGTGTACCGAAGTGTAGAATGGTGTAGCTCTTAAAGGTATCCCTTGAGATCGACACTATGAATTTATGATGTTTTACTATTAATAATAATTAAAGAAAGAAACTGTTTATAAGGGTGAGGATACAGATTACTTATTTTTTACTTATTGCACCCATTGCTTTGTCCAAGATCAAATTGATAAATTTTATATCATACATTTTTGGAACAATACCAGACATTTTATATTGTGTAAGATGCACAATATTAGAAAAATAATAATTAGTTCTTTATATTCCTTAACTTTCTTAAACACAATTTTTGACAATTGAACTTCTCAGACTGGACAGATTAGATAATTTTGAAAAAGAGTTATATAAGTCTATATAGAAGGCAATGGTTAATCAAACCTTTTGTAGGGTTTTTATTTGTTCCCATTTGAAGCCTGGAAGATGGAAGAGATTCTTCAGAATAGTATTTGATTTTTTTTTTTCTTAGTAGGTGTAAGTTCCTGTCTTAAGATAACCTTTGTTTTTAAACTTAGTGTTTTAATGAGGGATTTTTTTATGAGTTCTATGATATTTGATTAAACACTGCTTTTATTTTTGTTTTATGTTTAAATTTAATTTTGAGTAGCAAACCAAATTGAAGATTGCCTACTTTTATCCTCCATGCACCTTTAATCATGTTATACACTACAAAATTAATGTTCATTATTATGTGTTAATTGTATGATTTTCTCTTTATACTTTATTGACATGCCTACTCTACAATATTAATTGTACATAATTTATTTTTTTATTCAATTTTCATTGCTTAATTTTCTCCTACAATATTGAAATCAGTCATGTATTTTGAAGGGGGAAAACAACACAAATGTTTTACCATTCGCTTAAGCATAAGCCTCATGAAAAAAAGGCCAACTTCTAAGAGAGATCAATATATTATTAAAACTACCTTCATCCCTCATCAGAAACAACTCACAATTATTATTTTCTTATTGATAAACTGTAATTTTAATTAAAATTGGTTTTTAATTATGTACAATATGGATTGCCTTCAAATAAAGACAAAATATATAAATGAAATTCTTTTTTACAGTTTTTTACAATCAATGTCTAATTAACATAGTTAAACATCTATATAATGAGAAGTGTAAGTTGACAATAAAAGGGGATTGCATCAAAACTATCTGTTTTGGGACCATGGAAGCCGAGTGATCAGCGTGATAGAGTTCAATTCCCACTGTCGCCCCTGGCTCTTTCTTTAAACCCTTCTCCCCCAAAAAGAATACACATCACATGTGATATCACATTCCTTGGCTAATATTCAAAAGTTCATAAGATCATTTGTTAAGAAAGAAAGACCAAGCCTCGGATATTGAAGTTACTGTGGCTTAGGCAGTTACAGTGTTGGAATAATTCAAAAGCTAAATCAAATAATAAAAGCTCACGGCTGCTTAATAGAAGCCAAAAGAAATTTTCTGTATCAGTCTATTTTGGACAAGCTGATTGAGATTCCAAAAAATGCAGGTCTCTCTCTTCTTCTCCAGGCTAGCCCAAAGGGAGTGAGAGTCCTTCCATTGTTATAATTAGTTTGTTATAAAATGCATTAATCACATTCGCTCTTGTGCTATGTGATCTCAATATTTTATTAATTAAAGTTTTGAAGACCTGATGAAGGGATGAAGGGAATATATTAAAAGTAAAAGCTTGTAAAATAACTGAGAATGTTCTTTCTATTTTAACCATTTTCTAATACATATATTATTTATTTATTTTTTCTTAGCAAGTCATTAATGATTGGTTACATTGTTTTTGCTTTGTTCTTTTTTATCAGGATTTTGGAGTGTTTATGCAACAGAACAAGTTGCTACCTATGAAACCAGGCAAAGGAGTGGGAACAACATTAAAACGCACTCGCTCCCGGCTTGAGAGGCACACAAAATTCTGGCCTATGACTATTTCTTCTACTGTCATATTCAATTACAGACCAGTGAGTACATTATGAATTTTATTATGGGTCATTAATTGATGTTAATTATTAAACAAAATCAATCAAGCATTTAGAACCAATATTGACTCTTATGCTACAACCTGAACTTCGGGAAGCAGATGTCGCCCAGTGTAAGCAGTGTATATATTCACTGATTGGAAACGAAGCTAAACACGAGCCGTTGCACATAGCACCTTCTGGTCAGCGAGCAAAAGGATCAAAAACGTAAGTATTTAATGGTATATTTATCATGCTACTTCAATTATTTTATTAAGATCTAGAGAAGAGCAGTATAAACAACTTTGGTCGGAGTTGGAGGCATTCCTTCGTGCCCACTGTGTGACGGACAAGCATATAAATATTTTAAATTGCCTTCTTGAGGTGAGGAATAAGGACAAAGCAGTAGAGGGTACAGAAAAAATCGACATGGATCTTGCTCTCAAGGAATTAGACCAGTAAGCATATTCAATACGGAACTTATTATGTCATTGTAATAATTATATTTTTTCCAGTATATCTAAAAGTTTAGAAAGAGCAAGTGTGATAAGGGCGACGACAGATTCGCCAATGTCCCCTGATGCTGTGGTTCCAAATGTACATAGTAAGTCAATTTTAGAACTGTGGATAACCAAGTTCTGCCGACAGAAGCCACGACCAGACTTTGCCGGTTTGGCCACAGCCCAGCCGATAGGCAATGGGAGGCTGAGGGCAAAGCTTTACGCCCACATGAAAGAGAGGACCAAGTCTGGAAACAAGGGCCCGAGGCCACCAATCCTCGAGTGATCTTTGCGTAATTAAATATATATTTAACACTCATTCTTAATATTTTATAATTTAAGCTTTCTTATGAAATGGATCTTTATTAATTAATATAAATTTTTTAACAAAAAATGGTAACTTTTTTCATAACCTTTTTATCACTCTTACACTCCATGGAGCACAAGTTTAATTTTATTTCTTTATTTTATTTTTATTTTGTAAATACTGTATATCATAAAACCTTTAATTTAGCTTAATAAATGCGTACATTAAAAATATCAAATCTCTAAAAAATACATGGTTTGGCAGGCAGTCTTGTTGTTTCTCAAGTAATATGTTAAGTTGGACCATTTATAGTCAACCTGAAGTTTTTGGTGAAGAGACCTTGATCATTTGTGCTAGTCTACAAATGCCAATTCCTAAATTAATTTTATATAAGTCATTAGGGCATGCCATATCTTGCATATATTATAAACACATATATATCACAAAGTTTATTACATTGGAAGAAATAACATAAGTATGTATTAATTACAATAATCAATTAAAGCAAAATATTTATCAATGTTATACAATCAATAAAAAAAGAATCCAATATGTGCACCAAATCTGAACTTGGGTGTCAATTTAGAAGTAATGTGCTAAGCACCTTGCAGCTTGCACATTGTGCTCATAACTCTTAACATGTTGTGTAGGTGTTTTATCAGATACCAATGGCCAATATGTGTAATCATAGCCCCTGTCTAACTGAAGCAATGTGTTTGCCATTTTTGATGAGGGTTCTTTAATCTGACACCTCTGGAGTTCATCCACTTTTTTTTACTCCTTTATGTCCTGACACCCAAGATATTGCCAGGTTTTAGAAATTTTAGGTGTGACCTTTTTTTCATTAATGCTTTTATGGTTGCTTGGACATCTGATCTTATAAGGATTTTTTTAAGTGCAACCTCTTTTTTTCGCCTTTAGAAGATTTTCTATGACTAGTGAGATTTACTCCTGTGGTCTGCCTGGTGATAAAGCTATAGTTTGATAGTTATCTTGGTCAGCCTATCCTCGCTGGTTTTGTCAGTCAGATGCGTTTCGGCACTTTACAATGAGTTGAGTTTGGGTAATTTCTGCGGAATAGAACAGAATAATAGAAACCACCCAAACTCAACATTGAATGGCGAAATGCTGAAACGCTTCCAAAAAATCAGCAAGGATAAGCAAACCAAAACAAAAGGTAATTATCAAACTATTGATAGCATGGTTGGACATCATAAATACTAGTCTCAATCCTAGCAGAGAACAAGATACTTCACTGTGTCCACACCAGAGAATCTTTCAAGGTAGCTCCAGATATGCGATTTGCTGAATGCCGAGCAATGGTTCACCAAATCCGGACTAGTGGGGTTGAGTGATCGGTTATTCACTAAGTAACAGTATTCAGTGCTCACCTTGCTCGGCTTATTGTCGGTTTCCTTGTCTGCTTCAAATGCACACATATTCATGAAGTAGCCGAACTCAACACATCCACATATTCAGGAATCAACTGACATATGGATATCAACTGTAATCTTCAATCAACACTGCTATTTATTTTTCATAATACATGATTCCTAACTAGCATAGATGTATTAATGAAAAAACACCATTGCGTTTTTTCTGTCAGTTAGGAATGGATTGGCCCAATATTCAGTCTTGGAGTTCCTTGAAATGTACCAAGCTGAACCAATAATTTGGAACATACTTCCGAATCACAAAAATTAGAACGAGGATTTCAGTGCGTGGAAACGGATCAAAAGTAAGATGGGCAACATACTCTGTGACTGAGTTTGTAACCACTACACAAAACAGTAACCACAGCTTAATTTTTGTCCTTCATGATTGATAATAAGTTGAGGATTTGCACTTAGCAAATATGTATTCGCTATATCTGCACAAAGTATAAATAGGCACACGATTTGGCGAATGTTGAGCATCTCGAGATGGCAAATGATTGCCATTCGGCGATTACCACACGTCTAGAGCCATTTATATAAAGACAGCTCAACACCATACTCATACACTGTAAAACAATAAAGCATGATAGTGTGAGCCAATTTATTTATTTTTTATATAATTATAATTTAAATTGTATTTAGAACCATAATTTACAAATAATCGTGCAATCCTCTTTGAAGGAAAATTAATAAGACTTCAAATCAAGGTTTCATCTGGGATAAGTAAGTCATTTTTTGTTTTGTTTTGTAATGTTAATTTATTTTTTGTTCGCTGTTCAAGAAATTTTCTTTGGTTGGCCAATGTTGCCCAAAAGTTTTTCTGTCGATAAATCCGGCAAATCTTAACTCGGCCATTTTTTTGAAATCTGGCGGCATTTTGTTTCGAGTTCCAACGCCACCGTCACCCATCGGCCGAGTTTCGAGACGGTCGAGTGCCAGATGCCAGTTCGGAAAACACGATTACTAGTTCTTGAAGGCCCGCACGTCCCAAGTCGTTTTTCCCATTTGGAACTGAACGAGAGCCGGCAGGGGTCCCAGTCCCAACTCCGACCTCGGCCGCCTCCTCGTCCAATTCAACTCGGAGGACGCTTTCGGTGAGGTTTCGTCTATTTTCGTTGTCAGAAATGACTTTCATAATAAAACGTGAAAGTGGATTTTCCGAATTTCAAACTCTCCAGCACAACTCCGCTGAAGGTAATTAACATATACATTTAATTATCGGCATATTTCTTTTGTAAATAAAAACACAAAAAGCGTCGTGCACACTTTTTTTTCTTTTAAAAAACATCAAATTCGGAATTTTTAACAAATGAATTCGTTGCCGGAAATGTTAAATTTGAGAAGAAAGTGACTTTCGAAAGTCCTCGTTAACCCCGTCCTGAGATAAGAAAGGCTTTCTTCTTATCACACTTTGAGCTGTGATTACAAATCCTATAAAAATAACCTACACTGACTATATTTGTATTAAAAAATATATAAAACCTATTATTTTTTAAGGTATATAATAATATTATTATTAATTTTAGCTTAAATACTCAATAAATGTTCAAAATATTGAAAATTTACAGCCAAAATAGATTTTAAAAGAACCAGACAAATTCTACAAGAAATACATCTTTGATATGTTTTCTCTCATTTTCGCCAGATAATTCCGCTGTTGAAAGTAATTCCTAATTATTCAGTTTTTGTTTTCTTTTAATTCTTCACTACCTTGGTCTTCTATTTCAATATATTTGTAAATTGTATTGTTTAAAAGTCAATCAGTTGTTACACATTGTCACATCTTTAACCAAAGAATTTTTCTATTTGCCAACTTTGTAATAATAATAGAGTTTTATTGAGAAAACAATAACCATACAAAGTATTTAAAAGTTCAAAATTATTTTCAGCAATGGATTTTTATCACTGCTTTTGCCAATTTTGTTAATCAATGTAAAATTAGACAAGTCGGCAAGGCTAGGAGCTTCATGTTTAATTCAGTTTTTGTCACAATAAATGCAAAAAGGTTCAAAAAGTTCTTGTATTTTATCTTAGTCCCTTTTAGAAAAAGTAAAAACACCATCCTCTTTCTCAATCCTCACAGAGTTATACATTTTTTAAGTTAAAAAAAATCCAGTTTAGTATTAAATTTTAAAGAAAACTAAATGTTTCACTTGTAGGTAAAAGTACTGTGGGATTTCCTCCTGTGTTCTGGAAGTGTTGAACTTGTGATTTGGTTGAATTGATCTACTGAAATATGCGTGTGACAAAACAACCCTGCGAGGCTAGGCAGAGAAAGATGATTTGTAGGGGTACGGATAGGGATAAATGAGATGGCCACCAGGCACTTACGCACCTCGACCTGAGTAGGCTATTGTACTCCTCTAATTTTTATAAATCACTGGCCAGCTTCAGCTTGTTAGTCAACCTCCATACCCTTGCCAGTGGCTCCTTAGTGTAGGTTCTTGCAGCTTTTCATCTCCTAGTTACAAGAATACCTGCATATACCCTCACAAAAACAGAACGTGTTCTACAGTCTCTTCGTCTTCCTAGCAGTATCTGCACAGTGTTTCTTTTGTCTGTACTCTTGTACAGTGCATGTGCCTTCTTTGACAGTAGTGTTCTGTCAGGAGTCCAATGGAATCCTAATTCTGTTGCAGTTACCTTCCAGTAATTCCTTTGTAAGTCTTGTGGATGGCCCTTTTAGCCCTTCTCTTCTGGAGTGTTGCTCCACCAGGGTTTGGACTCGTTAAAGATCTTTTTTGTGGCAAGATACAAGTCCACAGTGAGCTTATGGCATAGAGAATTAACATTAGCTCCTTTTTTTGGCCAACATGTCCACTTTCTCATTGCCTGTATGTCCCGATGCCCAGGGACCCATGCCAGGGTCAGATCATTCCATACATTTTTTGGCTTTAAGTCCTATGGGGCTGCCTGTCAGAAAAAATCATCTTAGAATAAGTTCCTAGTCTTTTTATTTCTCTGGTCCAGTATTCAATTGCTGTATGATTCCGCCTGGAAGACTATAGCATATTTACCTAAGTTTAAAGTCAGTTTGGTCTTCAGATTCACCCCGAGGATTCCTGCGCCTCTTTCTATTGTTGGAATTGGCCTTCAGAGGTATACCTTTGGTCCACTCTTTCTTTTCTGGTATGAAAACCTTGTACTTGGTAAAGTTATATTTTGGAGTAGTGGCATCATTGGCATACCTTGTATGGCATCTGCCTGTATCTCCTCCCTCAATTTCCATTGTTTGAATGAGCCTAGGATCCACTATTCTGGTTGACGGTTTGAGATCTGTGTTGTAATGTAAAGCTTGATCATTCTGCTCTACCTACTCTGAACACAGCTCGACCAAGTTGGTGAAAATGACGATCGGCGACTGATAGACGAATGCAGTGAGAATAGGCAGACCAGGATGATCAGAGACAATCAAAGTTACAATGTTTAATAAAATATAAATTAACTAAAAAAAAGAGACTCGATATTTTTGTAGTTACTGTAAAACATCCTTTAAAAAAAAACTTTTGTTAACAACTGAACACTTAAAACTACTTTAAAATATAAACATTATTTGGTTCTTTTTATTTTCTGGCTATAATGTTTCATGTTAATTCACTAATAATTAATCAATCATGTAACTAATCACTTAACAAAATTTATTTATACAATCCATTAAAATTACCATCTTGTTACATTAATCAAGACTTTGTAGATTAGTTTAACGTATGCAAGTGATTTGCCCTTGGGTTATAAATTTTTAGAGGTTGCTCTTATTTTCTTCTCTTTTATCTTTTAGCCAGACAATGATATGAATGATAGAAGTCATTTCTTATATTATTATTTTTGTTTCCAGTTGTAAAATTATTTTGTCTATAATTAAGTGACTTAACTATGAGATTTTGGGAATATCTGACTTGTGAAAAACAAAATTTATTTTTTTCTTCTATCTTTCTGATAGGGAATTAGAGTGATTTCCTATTGTACCACAAACTCCAATAATTTTACTAGATATTTAAATGAATGTTGGTTAATGCATTATTAAAATATTGAAATAAAAAGTAAAGTCGTTTTTAGATAAAAATGCAACTAATACACATGAAAATAAGATCACTAGACAAATGAATGACATGATAGTTTATCTTGATTGCCTTTATTAACACATTTCAAAAATTATTTTTAAATTAGTGCATTAAAAAAATTATGAATAATTTACCAGACAGCACAGTTCTCCATAAAATTGAGTATTGAAATTATTGAATTTACATTGCTTGTTATCATTCATAAAAATTAAAATACTGTTGTCTGCTTCTAGATAAGCGTAGCTTAGTAGTAAATTATTAAAATCTTACTTGCCATTCAGCAAAATAGAGTTCAAAATTCTTTAATTTGATGTATTTCAAAATCATCTCGTTAACTTGTAAGGATTTACATTTTATAATTTGTACACAGATTTAGAGAAAGATGTAAATTAGTTTAAAAAAAGTTTTTCTTCAGAATGTGTTAACTAAAAAGCTGTAATCATATTGCAGAATACGTCGTAGAACCTTGCAGGGAAAACATTTGAAATGGTGCAGACACAGGTACCTCACGCTCACATCAAGTACAGTTACGCAGATACACTATGGTGCACGTACATAATTTCGGTATTTGCCGCAAGCATAGCAGAAGTCTGTAAGTATTTTTTTTAATTGAGTTTTAATATTAAGCTTGTTTATCAATGATTATTTCTTATAGCAACTAGAATAAATTCATGTTAAAAGAGAGAAAACTAAAACAACTTAGAAAATTTGTTTATAATTTTCAAATTGTCTAAAGATTTATTAAAATAGTTTGCTTTTAGTTATCACTATCATTTTATTGGTATCATTTTAATCATTTCCTATGTTGAATCATTTTATACAAATAATACTTCTATTGTCTGCTCAGTGTTATAGGAAGTTCATTGAAAGAATATGGCATTAAGGTTTACAGTTCTGGTAATATTGAAAAATTATGTATGCAAAAATATATAGGAAAATCATTACTTGCCGAGTTAAAGAGGAAGATATACTCAATAAGCAGACGGTACTGGGGTAGTTTCATTTCTCAATGGAAATGTCTGTAATTGGTTCAAGATGTATGGAAAATATTTCTAGTAGGGCGATAAGGGGCTAATGAGACAAATGCAACCAAAAAAACACATGAACAATCAAACAAATTATCACAGCCATTGTGAATTGCTACACTAATTATGGAATATAATTAATTACAATTAACGTTCATCATAAGATAGTTGCTTGTAACGAGATTTTGCAATACTTCACTCAGCTTCTGTGAATAGGACATTTTTTTTTCACTTTCTTGCATTAAAACAACTTTCAGAAATTGATAGAATTAAGCTTCTAAGTTACCCACTGGCTCCTGCAGACTTCCAGGTATTGCTCTTAAAAAAATGTAAATAAATAAAATAAAAAGTTTAATACATTGGAAAACATAAAACTTGTAGAAGAAAGTGGATTGAGCAACTGGTCGTCAGCAATAAACATTCGTTATACACTGATGGGCAAAATCAATGCACCGCCCTTAAATTTTAATATATTTAGGTTTATTCATATTTTCCATATCACAAATAAATTTCATTATAAAAAGTAAGACATTTGAAAAGAAAATATTTATTACCTAATTCTAAAAAAAAAACTTATTGAGTTTTTAAAAAAATCAAAAACAAATAACCAAATGTTAAAAAAAACAAAAAAAAAACTTTTTTTTGTCCCTTTTAACACAGTGTATTCTCACATTTGGCATTAATCATGTTCATTAAACGCCTTTGCATTCCTTAGAAAAGATTTCTGATAAAATTCTGAGGAATTCTTTGCCATTCATCAAGACCAGCAGTTTCTCTTCTGGGGTGTTAGTACCTGAGTTTCGCCGTCATACTTGTCGCTTAAGTTGGTTTGATTGGTTTCAGATTTGAACTTCAAGCTTCAGTTCCAATCTCATTCAGATAGTCATCCACAATGTGTGCTCTACGGGGCCTGGCATTATCCTGGATTAGCAAGAAACTGTCACTGATGTGGGGGGCAAATGGCACTTTGATTATGTCTTATAAGTTATGTCCCTGTGAAGTTAGAGATCTTCTTCACACAACAACCGATTTGGAGCAGACATCCAGGGAATGTCACCCCAGAATATCAATAACCCACCATGGAATGCCACCTGAGGAAGCATGGGGTGTTCCTTTTTCCTAAGCGTCATATGAAAAACTCTCATCTCATCTGTAAAGATAACTCTTCCCAAATCTTCCAATGTCCAATTCATGTTCCCGTGTGAATTGAAGCCTGGCCATTTTCTGAGCTGTGGTAAGAAGAGGTCCATGAGCTGGGTGCCGGATCTTGAGGTTATTCATTGAGCCTTTCGTACAGTTCTGAAAATCAAAACATTTCAAACTTGTCTTATCAAATTTTTTACCTCATTTCCCATAATGGTGCAGTTTCGTAGAGCATGATGACGGATGAATCTAGCATCTCTCTGGTCTGTACACCAAGGTTGACGCTGTTCTGACCTTCTAACAGGGCTATTGTGAAGCCCTGTTTCTCTGAAGCACTGAAGACCCTTTCCTATTGTAGAATACTAACATTCTCCTTGCTGGCTGTATCCTTTCTCTAATAATGTTATGACTCTGACACTGTCATACTCACTGAAATGCCTGATCGGAGCCATTGAAAAAGGTTTATGAATAAGAATATCAAATTAAATCATCAAAGGAAAAAATTAACATGAAGCAATCTTTATACGTAGCAGAATGGTAGGGCGTAATGCTACTTTTTGTACAAATGGGATTAATCAGTACCAAAGTAAACAAAGCATTATTTACTGTTTATTTGGACTACAATAGTTCCTAATTAACATTAATGTAGAGAGATAATGAATTCAATTTTAAATTAAATAAATTGAATGGTACATTAAATTTGTCCATCATTTATCCAATATTATCTTGAAATTTTTCCTATAAAAATTAGGAATTTATCAAATCATTGGTAAACTAGATAACTAAATAGATCATATTTTTGAAACATAAAATATATACAAAATAACAGTATAAAAAATATATATTGTTTAATGTTTTTAGTGACATACCCTCTGGATTTAACAAAAACCCGGTTGCAAATACAAGGTGAAGTTGCAGCACAAAATGGGACACACAAGGTATTTACAATCATTTTCTATTTTTAGTCGAAGTTAACAAGTTTAAATGCTTTTCTCATGTGTTGATGACAAGATGAAAATTACTGGGTAATCAAGGGCATGAATACTTAGCCCTCCTGGACAAGTATGGAGTCGGGCTAGCCAATTTGGATGGGATTCACAAAATGATGACACCGATCACACATTCTTCAAGTTGGCTCAAGGAGAGAGGAGATAAACCAGACAATATTATTAGTAGATTATTGTCTGGTAAAAGACCCCCCGGGGGTACAGTGTGTTCCTTGAAGATTGAGGATGCCCGAAAGATGAAAAAGAAGAAAATCTCAGTGTAGGTTGAGAATTGCAGCACCAGTAGAACTCATAAGAGATAAGTAGAGGCGTCATCCTGACCTTTCGTGGTTCCAGGACGGTTGGTTTCCCAAAAAGATTTTTTTTTTTTAATTAAAGAGTCCCCCACGCCAGAAGAAGTGATCTGATTGCATTCTTATTAAAAAAATGAATAAATAAATAAAAACTTGTAATGCTTCAAACATGCGAAGAAATAACAAGAAAAGAAATAGTTTTGGGTTAAAAAGAGGATTTATCCGGAAGTTAATGTGTGAAAGTAGAAGTGTTACCAGGGTCAAAGTGGCCCTGAGCACAAATGAAAGAAGGATAAGAAACCATTTCCTACTTCTGCCCTGCTAACCTTGCAATTTCAACATAAATCTAAAACCAATTATCAACACAAAACATGAAATGCTTTCATTTTGCTTTCCGAATAGTCCAAAGAAATGGATGGCACTGTTATTTCTTAAGAAATATAAAAGATAAATGTGGTTATCAACGGGGACAATTAAAGAGAAGCACCAATCTGAGAACATTTAAATGAAATGCCAAAAAATATACACATACACACTCAGAGTAAATTCTTTCATATCAAAACATAATCTATTAAATTGGTTATCAACTTAATAACAATAGCAGTACTGTAACTATAATATTACTATTCTATAATTTAATAGTCCCCCACTGTTTTGATGATGTTTGTTAGGTATGAAAAGACAAATAGGGTTTATTCTCAACCTTTTCCTTCTTTTAAAATTATTTTGACAAATGTGATACAGTGTAAGGCAGATCTTGAATCCAATTTTTTTTTAAAGTTCTTTTTTTATAGTTTGAATATCTGCTTATTTAAAAAATTAATTAAAACGTGTTTTGATCATTTGTCCACGTTTATTGATATTGTGTAGCAATTAAGAAGGAAGTAGGGATAGAAATCATTTTTCTATGAGCAGTTGGCATCTTTGAGGTGAAACAGACTGACAATTGAAAAAAGGGGTAATGGTTTGTCGCTAAGGCCTTTTACCCTTGCAGGATTATTATAGACAGGATTATTAGCAAAAAGATAAATAAAAGATAATCTCAATAAAGATCGAAACATTGGCACGATAAAGAAAATATTTTTCTAAACCTACCATCAAACCAGACTGCATCTCTCAATCTCCAAATAATCATTTATTGGTTACATTCACAATCAAATGCATTTTCTCTATCTTAGGTTATAAGTGCAAAGTCCTCTTTAGCCTCCTTATAAGCCACAAATGGATTTTGAGGTTCAATATTATCAGGTTGTTTTTTATTACCTGAAAATCAGCTTTGGTGGCAAATGGGTTAGGTGTTGGCCATAGACAAGTCTTGAGTTTGATCTCCTGCAATATTTTCCCCCTTCTTTTTGCATCATCCATGAAGTAGAAATCCAGTAGGATGTTGGATGTTATGTCATCTTGTGTGAATAAAAATTATATGAAAAATATGTACATAGTCAAATTAAATAAACGAATAGTCACTTTTGCATATATTATTTAATGCTTGACTGTTGCTGTTTTGGGTTTCTAATGAATTAATCGGTTTTAATGGATTAACATATTAACAGACGAGTAAAATAATTCATTTCAAATCTGTTTCAGACACCATATCGGGGTATGTTGGGTACTGCCCTTGGTATAGTGCGAGAGGAAGGATTTTTGAAGTTATGGCAGGGTATTACGCCTGCTATTTACAGGCATGTCATCTACTCAGGAATACGAATAGTTTCATACGAAAAAATGAGGAGGAGCGTTCTGAAAAAGAATGACGACGGGTCTTTCCCAATATGGTGAGTTGGACATTTTACGCCCTTTGCCCCACGCCCCCGTAACTGATTCCAGAAGGGCCCAAATTTTTTCTCTATCATGCATCCTGCAATTAACATATGTTCCGTAGGAAGTCTGCAATCAGCGGAGTCACATCTGGGGTTGTGGCACAATTTTTTGCTAGCCCTGCTGATCTAGTCAAAGTTCAAATTCAAATGGAAGGCAAGCGTAGACTGTTAGGCAAAGCAGCAAGGTATAATAACAAGTGTTAGTATAGGCTAATTTTAATGAAAAGACAAAAAGTGGTACCAGAGAATTTTAAATGTTTGCTAAAGAATAAATTTAGCATTTTAGTTCATTGTAATTAATCATGACTCTAAGAAACGCGCCTTTCCATTACCAAATTGAGACCTTGATTATCAGATTACAAAATCATTTGTGATTTTGTTGATTCTAAAATTGTTTTACTTTAATTTCAGAGTTCAAAGTGCAAGTCATGCATTTCAAAAAATTTTGAATGAAGGAGGAATCCGAGGCTTGTGGAAAGGTTCAATACCGAATGTCCAGAGGGCTGCTTTGGTCAACCTTGGCGACCTAACGACGTATGACACAGCCAAACAATTTATTCTGTCACACACCAACCTCGAAGACAGTCACACAACACATGTTTTATCAAGGTAATTTTACTAAAAAAATATTAATCTCTAAAAGTCAAATAATGTTCAGATTTGTTGTTCTTGACCAACTTTTGCAATATAAAATATAAAGGTTAGATAATTCATAGCTGTAAATCATAGAATGAATAAAACCAGAACCTACAGTAGTACAAAAAGTAACATGCAACCACCTGTTGCATGTGGAGGATGGGGGTGAAACCAACTTACAATAAAAATCCTCAAATATATAATTAATAATATTAAAATGCAATCCTCAAATACAATTAATTTGTTCTAAAAATATTAAAATATGCAGGATGAATATCGGGACATAACATAACGAATAATTGAAGAATTTATTTTTAAAAGACTTTTTTTCGGTTTAGAGCATTTTCATTTTGAAAGAAAATAGAACAGAGATTTACAAAATTTTATATTAATAAATTATGATAAATAGAAAGAGAACTGACAGTGATTTTTCTTCCACAATCTAATTTAGGAAAATTAGAGGTCTTCAAATAAGATAACCAATTATTTCAAGAGAATTATATCGTGTCAGTTTGCTTATGTTAATAGCATAACATAATAAAGCAAAATAATTGAAAAATTTTCTTTAATTTTTTAGCCCGGTTTGTTGAAGGTTTTTCCCAAATATTACAATTTTAAAATTTTTCTAAAATTTATGCAATATTCTTCAAATGCAAAATGCAGAATAAAATTTTAAACAATTGTACCATTGTAAGTATGTATTGTATGATTCGGATAAATATCTGATCGATCACCAGGTTATACAAACCATACGTGTCAAACTTCAGTGCCATTTGACTGAAGGAGTCAGATTAGAAAAAAGCATTCCAACAGAGTTAACAATCTGTGAGAAATTATAAATTACGGATTAGTTGACGACTATTTTGTGATTATGTATTGGAACAAGCCTAAAATTCTCAATTCACATTTATTTTGAATGCTGTGATTCGAATCCAGAACCGCTAATGTGGCAAATACACATGCCGAGCCACTCGACCACCTCGAACGCTGGTAACAGGTGGAACCAAAATAAACCAAGAATTGTATGGAATAACAACATTATTAATAAAAGTTTAAGTGTATTATATGTACAAATGAACATTAAAGTTAAGATACTCAGCATCAATTGTGTCAAAGCAATCAGATCTATTGCTGAAGTATACAAAAATAGAGACGAAAATATGAGATTATCAAGTTACAGGTTCATCGCCTCAAAGGCATCCCTTCTGAATGACAGGAATTTTTTTTTACTCTAAAGTTTAAATTTATTAAACAGATGATTATTTATTGTTTTCCAGTGGATGTGCAGGTCTGGTTGCTGCAACAATGGGAACACCTGTAGATGTTGTGAAAACAAGAGTCATGAACCAACCGACTGATGGAAAGGGGCGGTAAATTTTTCTACCATGTCTTCTCCATCCTGAATTTTTTCTTATTGACTCTCTATCACAGGGGACAGTTGTACAAGTCTTCAATCGACTGCCTGGTCAAGACTGTGAACAACGAGGGCTTGTTCGCCCTCTACAAGGGTTTCCTCCCAGTGTGGATCCGAATGGCGCCATGGTCACTCACTTTCTGGCTTTCCTTCGAGCAGATGCGTAGCATGATTGGAGCCACTGCTTTTTAATAAGGGAGCAATTGAGGAGAAAAAAATTTGCACTTGACATATTTAATTATGTTTGTATTAATATTTGTGTGAAAGAGCCAAATCTTAATATGGCGTACTCTGTCTTAACATATATTGTACATATATTTAGATATTGGGGTTCTTATTGACTGGATAATTAAAATCTAAACAGAGAAAAATTAAAATGAAATATCTGTAAATTTTATATATAACAAAAATGTTATGTGAAGTTTGTGTTTTGTTTCTGTTTTTTCATTGGGCTATAAAAAGGGGAGAGTTTATTTTTTTTAACAAAACTTTCTTATTGTTATGTTTAAGAGGGATAGATTTTTGTTTAATTTTTCTTATTATATTTTTTTGTGAAAAATGTGATATTAATCATTTGCACTTTTAATAGATATTTTTTTAAATCAAAATCGGTAATCGTTAATTTTATATAGTAGATAGGAGCGATTTTTAATTTGACGTGAGGGTTGACCTGTCATTACTTGGCATATATCTCATTTCTATTATGAGCACAAAATAGTAAGTTGTTTCAGGGTAAAATAATACATACTTTCTTGCTATCATTAATTTTTTTTTTAAATTGACCAAGAAACATTTTGTGCTCAATCTACACTTTTGTCACAATATTTGGTTTTCCGTCTCCCTGTGTTTTTACCCTTTGCAGTTCTCGTTTCCTCTTAAACCTGGAAGTATACACCTCCCACTCATTGACTGTGAATTTTGCATTAGGAAACGTAAATAATTAACTGCAATCATGTACAATTTACACTGCCATAAAGGTATTACTGTAAAGTATGAAAAATAATTATTAATTAGAAATGATTTTGTATTAAAAGTTATGGCCTAGATCAAAAAAGTAGTATTGAAAGATCTGCATTTTATTTTTTCATATGCACAAGTTTTCCTAATACAAGAAGAAGAAAAAACATATATCCAGCACGATTTGAGGCTTAACAAGGAGTTTATATTTGTGTAATAAACATATTTTTGCAAATTATTAAAACACTTTATGATAATAAAAATGATAGAAAAAAAATGAACCACACTACTTAAATTTTGGGGTAAAGTTAAAACAAAGTTAAATAATAAATGTGCTCTCTTAAAACTTTTTTAAATAAATGATTTTATATATATATGTTATGTATAATATATATTTACTGATATATTTTAAAAAAATGCTGAAACTATTAGTAAGCCTACAGGTAAAAATATTTTTTTAACTTTCCCCATTATAAATATTTAGCTTTGTATTTATAAACAATAGTAAAGCTTTAGTTGGTGTTTAATTAACTGAAGTATAGCAATGCATGCAATAAAATTCAAATCGGCGCCATAATGGAAATTAGTGTTAGATGATATTAGACGACCATTATGAGTAAAGCCGATTCGTAAAAAAAATTTAAAAAAACAGTATTTATAAAGTGTCAAATCAAAATAGTAAAACTTGTAAAATGGGTGGATTGTCAGAGCGATTTTTGTCGCATCACATTTTCACACCCACTGTTAATGTTGTGAGGTCAAACAGGACTTTGCCCTTGAAAGTGAGAGCACAATATTGTATATAATTTCACAAAATGAAAAGTGTAATTAGATGTGATAGACTGACCTAGTAACTGACAGATCATTCAGCTCAACTGTTTCCTTTTATAAGCATATTATTTACATTGAAGTTGATTGTTATCTTGAGCTGTATATATGTGAAATAAAATAATAGTTAATTTTTATTATTTTCTTTTTGATTTGAGTATTTATTACATTTTAATTAAACCTCAATGGTACGGGTCGGATCCGACCCAATGGTTCATTTTCCCTTCATTGCAGATAGTCGGCCTGGTCTCTACTTGCCAGTCATTCAACAGCTATTTTAGTGACTAATTATCTGGTAAGTAAATTTGTCTTATTACTTCCAGTTTTCTCATGAGCTATTTTATTCCAGGTCATTTCCGAAACGTGTACCAATAATATAAAATTTTACGACGGATTTTTTCACAGTTTTGACCGCAAAATGGTTTTGCAACAATTTTTCACACTCCTGAAGAAGTTTTATCGTCTAGAAGATGTTTCAGAGCATAAGGACTCTGATCTGGATCAACAGTATTGGAAATTGAACAGATTTTCAACTGTGACTAGAAAGATAAGAGCTCCAAGAGTGATGGAGAAGGAACAGACATTAGAAAATTTGAGTTATGGACGAACGATGAAACAATCTGAACTGGTAAGCCTTTACACTATAAGTATTTACGAACCTCTTCTTCAAATGTGAATTCTCACCTAACTGGAATTGGGGGTAAAAGGTTACTCAAGAAAGAGTAGAGACATCTCAGAGATCGTTTTATTGTTTTGAATGTTCTCTCGACATTCTACAGCTGTTGAGATCAAGCAACAACTTCGAGATAAAAATTGTTAATGTCAGTTTATGCACTGTAAGACGAAGACTTTCAGAAGCTGGATTACGTGCGAGAAGGCCTACTACTGGTCCAAAACTTCTAACAAGATGCAGCACAGCTCAGTTAAGTTTCGCAAGAAATCACATAAATTGATAGCAAGGACTAAAACCTAGTTTTCGGATGAGTCAAGGTTTTGTAATGAGGTCTTCTGAGAGAGGTTTTGGAGAAGAACAGGAGAGTAATATCCTGCACTATTTTCACTTCATAGAAGCTATGGATGTAGTTGTCCCCTATCAGCTCCATGATACATTAAAGATGTTTTATCAAAAGTTGTTCCTCATATGTCACTAATTGGCGACGGTTTTATTTTTATATATGACAGTGGCCCCATACAATTGTTGGTGACTACTTGATACAGGCTTCAATTCTATGTTTGGAATGGCCAGCAGTAGTCTGACTTAAACCTATCAAACACATTTGGTACGAGTTGTCAAATAGGGTAAACAGTAGCCCAATGATGCCAGAGAATTTATAGGATTTAAAAATGGAGTTGTTGGAGGAGTATGAAAATATTCAACAGCACTACACTCAAAACTTCATAAAATCAATGCCAAGTCGAATGCAAGCAGTGATCAATGCAAAAGGAGGAAATACACCGTACTTGAATTGAATAGTTTCTTCGTTGTTTCAATAGAAGTATTGTTGGTAAAATTGTTTTACTCAGTTTAATTTTTATTTTTAATTTAGTTATATCTTACATTTTTCTTTAAAAATATCCAGTAAACAACAAAAAATAAAAAATTATAATGATTGCAAGTGTTTACTAAAAACAAATGAGGATATCAACTTTTTTGCCCTCTCAGTGTATATTCTATTAATTATACACGATTTTTCAAAATGAAAATGAATTGAACAATTATCTATGTTGTTAACAGCCCCAGCTGGAACTGTAAAGTTTGTCTATGTAGGTTTCGTTCAATCCTACAAAAAATGTTCTAATGGCATCAATGTGCCATTAAGCGAGGAGCAAGCCAGTGATTATTGAATTGTATAACCTAACAACAAATGGAGTGGACATGTCGGAAAAACTGCAAAGACAAGGCTATAAAAAGGAAAACCAGAATGTGGCCTTTTTGAGATGAGATACTTTTTTGGAATCCTAGACATCACTGTTTTATACAGTTCTATTTATCAGTCAACAGTTACATTTTATTCAAATGTACAACAAGACTCTTTCTCCTACATGCATGAGCCTTTCTAAAAAAGGCTTTGGCCAAACCCTTGATGGAAAAACAAATACACAACCCATGAATTGCGAGGGCTCTTCTTTGACAATTGCTAAGGTCTTTGGAAAAGAAGAGGAGAGGGAATGATTCACGGTCACAGTCTATCAGAATTTACAAAAACAAATGTAACTTTTGTGCCCCCAGTGCTACATTTTGCCAAATGAAATTCATGCTTGTGTGACGATCATAAACAGTATTATGCATTAGGTGTATGGATGATTGTAGTGAAAAACCAGAAAAAATTCTCTTTCTCCCTACATTATTTTGTACTTTGTCAAAAAAGACTAGAATTGTATTCCATTGTGTGTAGATACTTTGATTTGGATTTGAAGGCCAATAGACTGTAATGGTTATATATTATTTGTACAAAAACGATTTTTTGTCCTCATGTAAATAATTATCAATAAAAGTTATTATACAATAAAAAGCTTAATGTGAACTTAGGACTACCAAAAACCTCATTTTATCTCAAACCACTGTACCATTTGAGGATTAAAAATCTTTTTCTGGTTCAAAAAAATTGTAAAATCTACATATTAATTAAATTTTAAGTTATTTAAGAATTACTAGAGAAAAGCTAGAAATTAACATTAGTACTAATGAATTCTTTTCACTGGGCATCTTAATTTCATAGATTGTTAACTCCCATTTCAAAGAACACAGAGAGGGTTTTTAATCTTTAACATTTATCAGTCTGCAGCATCGCGTCGAAGGTCTTTAGTTTAATTAGGATTCTAATTATCACACATCTTTATAGACTAAATTGTGCGTTGGTAATCAAAGTTGATAAAACTATAAAGGAACTTTTTGCAGCAACAGTCTTCTGAGTATATCGGTGTTTGTGTTATTCAGCCTTAAGATTTAATTAAATCCAACAATTTATTTACTTATTTTGCTAATTACAAAATTATCTGCCATTCCATAACGAAGTATTGAAATATAATAAGTAATCAGTAACCTGATAGATATCATTAGTAAATTTTTATGTTGTGAAATCATTGAAATAGTTTCTTTTTTCTTAACTTGAACTTAACCGGATGAAGCTTATTTATTTATTTATTTTTTTTTTTTGAAAATGCAAGTCAAAGCAACATGTGAAAGTTTATAGTCAGTGGCCGCAACAGTTTAGGCATAGGCATGGCACTGTGCACTGTAAGGTAAAGGTACCGGGTTTGAATTCAGAGCCGCTGGACTCAAACCCATTACTTTTTTGGAGGCAATGGTCTTTTTTCAATTTTTTTGAAAGAAAACTTCTGTCTTGTTCAATTAAATAATATTAATAATAATTACTTTAATTAATAAAGACTAAGTCATAAATTTATTTCATTCATTGGTTCATTAGTAAGAAATAAATAGTAAATTAATGATTTGATTACTAAGTTATCAATTTCACAACTCGATTTATTTTA